GGGGGGGGACCAAGGGCAACATACGTAACCTAAACATCTGTACCCCCATAATATGCTGAAATAAAAGAAAAAAAAAACAAATCTGTATTTTAGAAAGATAATTATAGTAAATGATCCAGGATCTTCTAATAATGCTATCTACAAGTAGAAAGGATCCAATAAGTGAAGAATTTTTTTTAGCCTTCTTAATATCTGCGCCTACTTTTTTTCTTTCCCCACTCCCCTGTCCATTGGCCCAATTCCCCATAAGTCTTATGTATGCTCCATCCCTTGTAGGTTAGTTGGGGAATGTGAATACATCTCTTCCAAGTTCAGCTTCACCACTCAACTTCCAAAATTGGCACTGGAGGTTTTTATCCATAGACATTTAGAATAAACCATATCATAGTTTGTTTTATTTTTATATTTCCTTTTTTCTTTCTTTCAGTGTGCTCGGTATGACAATGCCTTCATTGCGGAGATCCTGATTGACAGAGGCGTCAATGTCAACCACCAGGATGAAGACTTTTGGACACCAATGCACATTGCCTGTGCATGTGATAATCCTGATATTGTCCTGCTTCTTGTTTTAGTAAGTATTTCAATTCAATTTATCTACCACTTGAAGAGTTGGTGTTGTGTAAAAGGCTATATATTTAATATATTTTACAATAAGTAACAATTTGATTGAGAAAAATGTGCATTAATCCTTATTTATTTACCTACACCACAAGATAATAAGAGACTAAGAGTGTGTGTCACATAGTTCATAAAACAAATTGTTCAAATACTGTGTTAATCTATACTCCTCTTACCTTTCCTTGGAACTTTATATGCCTTGAAACAAGTCAGTCATAACTAAAATGGTTCGTTAATTTTATTTTTCAATTCATTCTCATTTCTAAATTTTTAGCCAAACAGGCATAAAGCTATAAGGAGATATGGCTTATATTGAATGTTCTTTTCTTGGTTACATCTAGTAAAGAAGTGTCTCCAACATTTGTTTATACGAAAATGAAAACTTTAAATATAACTTGGAGTTTCTTGTTGTTGTTTTCAGTTACATCTTAAACACTGACATTCATTCTCACATAGACTTTATTTTGAAAGTGAGATTTTTTTCCTAATTTGTTTATCTCTAAATTTTTAGAAAACTTACTGGAATATAAGAGTAACAATGATTTGCTTTTTTCCTCTTTATTTTTAAAAAATCATCTAATTCCTTAATGGGTCACTATTATGTGCCTGAATTTTCACATGCATTATTTCATTTAAGTTTTCAAGATTTTACACACAAGCCACGTGGTGCTCAAATATATTAAGTAACTTGCCATACCCAAAACACAAACTATAGATTTGAATTCAAATTAATTGTCCAAAGTCCATCCTTTCTTCACAGAGCCATTTTACCTATATCGCTTCCTGTGCCTGCCATAGCAAGTCACCATGTATGTGGTGGCTGATGAGAAGTATATTGTCACAGTTCTGGAGGTTAGTGTCTGAAATCAAGGTGTCAGCAAAGCCATTCTCTCCCTCTAGGCTCTGAGATGAATTCTTCCTTGTTCTCTGGAGTTACAGTAGCTCCTGCCGTCCTTGGTGTTCCTTGGCTTTTAGAGGCATCATTCTAATCTCTGCCTCCATCATCACCTGACTTTCTTCTGTGTCTCTGTCCAAATGTCCCCCTTCTCTCTTTTACTGACACCAGCCATTGGATTTAGGGCCCACCCTAATGCAGTATGACCCCATCTTAGCTTATTACATCTTCAGAGACATTACTTCCAAAAAAGGTCACATTCACAGTTATTAGGAAGCATATCTTTTTCGTTGGAAACAATTAAATCCACTACCCTGTGCCTCTTCCTTCTTTCCTAAAATCATGAGCAGAAGTATTTTAAGATTAAAGACTATGAGTTGAGACATTCTTAATTTTATATAAGATATAATTTTGTCTAGCTTTCTCTGATTTGTCCTTTAAGAATATGTATTTTATATTTATATATATTTTTCTTTTTACAGTATAAATATATGTCACTGAAAATGTGTTTCTTTCAAATACTGGAAAATGGAGGGTAGATTTGACTAATAACAAAAGACAACGGAAATAAAGATTACTTAGCTCAAAACAGAAACTTTGGGAGGGCTGACACTTTACATGAGAAGACACAAGAATCTACTTAACTCGTTTGTAAGAACAAAGTCTTCATTTTGTAGAAACAGAGCCTAAGAGATACTAAATTCACAAGTCAGTATAAAAGCTATGAGATTTCCTCAATATTGAAGGGAAATATAAAACATATTAAGGAATTGAACTGAATCACCTTTTGAGCAAGGCTGTTAAATGATCAGCTTTGGAACTCTCCAGAATGCTTAGATCTCATAGAGCACTAGGCTGAGTTATGTAAGAAGGGGCTGAGTCCATGTTACTTGTTTGATACATTTTTTTGATAGTTTAACCACTGGATGACTTCTGTGAAATATCTGCTTTGATTATGTGAGAATAGGGTAGAAAAGTTTGATTCATGACTTTTGAGGTTTTTCTATGTTCTGATTTATTTTTCCTAAATATTGTTTGGGAAAATCAGTAACTTTTTCAAAGCCCACTCTATTTTTGTTCTCTGACTAATTATTATTGGTTACATAAGCCTTTGCCAAAAGAGGTGTTTTCCCCCTACATGCAAAATGGCCATACTTATTCTCAAGAATCAATATTCATATGGCTGTGCTTGAATTGTAAAATCCTTCTTCCATTTCCTCGAGCAAATTGCTGCACAAAGACTTCACTTTCTTGAGCTCCACTGCCAGCCAAGATTCCCTTCCTCCCTTCTGAAATGCCTCAGTTTCACATTTCAGATGGCGCAGAGCGAGAGGATCTACCTTCATTATACAGTCTTCACCGAGCCTAAGTCTAGATTCGTGTGATACCTGCAGTTAAATATTACGGAACAGCCCTGAAACAATGCACCGAATCATGACAAAAGAAAATAAACAAAATTGAATCTCAAGAAAAACAGCGTATTGATTTCAAGGTGCAGTTGCTATAACTACACTCAAATGACTCCCCTTCAGCATATAAGAAACTGTTATCACAAATAGCATTAAAATCAGAAATATCGTTGATGGACTAGAGGTAGCAAGCCAGGTAGCCTACCCTGAACACAAGAATGAGAAACATTTATAACCAGAGCTAGGATTAGGGCAGGGCCCCAGGACCAGTACCTGGGGCATCAATACACAAGGTATACTATAACTATAAGAATAAATTAGGTATGTGGTGTCAAGTTACATAGGTCTCCCCTGTGACTCTTTGCATAGCTGAGGAAATACACATTAGCCTTCTTCATGATGAGGCTAAACAGCATCTTCCAAAGGAAATCAATAAGCAATGGCACCAATCCCAGTCCCTAAAATAAATGTTTAGAAAAAGAATAACAATTTGAAGATGTACCAAACTGTTACCCTACCCAGGGCCACCCCCATGTCATTGTCAGACTCAATGGTACCTTCATTATGATGTGGAACATTCTGTACTTTCATTTTATCCTTCTATTCTTTGACCTTCCTGCACCTGCTTCTAAGATTATTAGCACATTATCCATGTTTCTTGATGTTCTACCCCATCATGAGCAGGAGGTTTGTTTAAATAATCATTTATTTTTCTCTTTGTTCTTAAGAGATGCTGTTTCTGTAACTTCCATTTTTCCCACGGCAACGACTCCGTCATATTAATAGCCAGTTGCCTTTATAATAAATATCTCATCTGCCTGGAATGATTTGGTTTATATTCAGTAATTATTTATATAACTTACAGCAGCAATGTTTATTAGGAGCTTCAAGTTAGGCATTTAATAAATAATTAGCTTCCAGCTCATCCCAGAAGTAGTTAACTAGTGCATAGGTGGCTGCTAGAACAGTGCCTAGTTCCTGACAGATGCTCTATGTACATGTGCTGAATACATGAATCAGCAAAGGAATGAAGGAATAGAAGGCCAGTTTTTGGAAGTCAACCTGAAATTGATATTGCCACTATTAACTCATATCTAACTCATTCATCCTTTTACATATTCTAGAATTCTTTATCTCATTCATTTTACACTTTTGTTGAAGCACTTAACTTTAGCACATAATTTGTCTCGATGTCTGATAATGTTGCTTTTCTTTACCAGACAGAAATGAAAAATAGAAACTGGTTGTATTTCATGTCTGATCATAGAGTTAAATCTATAATATTCAAATTATTTGCAATATTTTCATGGCTCTGCAATGCCCTCTTTCTCACACTAGAATAATCCAACCTAATATACAAAGTAGTATATCCACTAGTTACTCTCATGCAATGACTTTAATTTACTAATCACATCTAAAACATTAATTGAAAATTGTCTATGTATTAACACAGGTCCTGCCCTAAAGGAAATTAGTTTATTCATTCATTCAGTCAGCAAATATTTATTGATTGACTACTGTGTTTTCTAAATGCTACACAGTGAACAAGAAGACACTTTATAATCTAGAGTAATCGTGAAAACAATGCAAGTAATAAAAATGAACCACTGAGAAATGTGATTAATGGATTAAGCAAGTCTGAGTAGCCTTATTCATACCATGTGATAGCCAGACTAAGAATCCATCCACCAAAGTAATTGACTTTGAAATAAATATTGATAAAATATGTTGTCATAAAAATTCTAATTACTGTAAAATATGTTCTTGCCAATAAGCTCAAAAGAGAGATGTATTTTACTTGACACATTAAATTCCATTGTACCTCGTTTAGGGCTGTGTGTCCAATCTTTTTTCCATTTTGCAAAGCTTAATGATGGTCAGAGAGACTGTGCAGCATTGATTCATTTAATAAATATGAGTTTACCTTCTGTGCATGCCAAAGGGAGGCAAAAATCCCTGCTTCTTGGAGCTTACGTTCTGTTAGAAAGAGGCAGGTAAAAGCACATAAATGGCTAAAATATATAGTGTATCAACTAGTGAGAAGCCTTAAAGGGTGACAGAAGAAAGGAATAGAGAGTACTAGGATGGCTGCACGGAAAAGGTGACATGTGAGCTGTGACCCATGTGGGTGTGCGGGTGCAAGCATGATGGGCACAGGGGACGGCGCCTACGGGCTCCTTGGCAGGGTTCCTGTGCTGGAGGGACAGCAAGGAGACCAGCACGGCTGTCGTGAAGTGACAAGCGCCGGGCAGTAGACGAAGTCAGAGAGGCTGTGGGGCTGGGTCAGGCCCTCGGAAAGATTTTCAATCTACTTTAATGCCCGTTGATTAGGGAAGCCTTTGGTGGGTTTTGAGCAGGGAAGTGACATGATGTGACTTAAGTTTAAGAGGATCACTCTTGCTGCTCTGTTAGAAATAGACAAGGGGAGAAGTACAGGGAACTTTCAGGTATGGTCACCGTCCACACTCGAGGTGGTCGAGGTGGCAGAAGTGGTTGACACTTGGGTATACAGTATTTTGAAGGTGGAGTCATCAGTATTTGATATGATTGGATTTGGGGATGAGGGAAAGAACAGAAGTCACGAATGATTTCCACATCTTTGGCCTGAAAACTGGGAAGTTGGGATTGTAATTTTTGTTTGCTGAGATG